ACTTTAGCGTTTGGATTCGGGCTGAAGATTGAGTGCAAATATACCTATATTAGACAATTACATTACATTATTAGACATACGTTTGAAAGTTTTAAGAATGGGTGGATTCGTTTTAACGGAGTACAATTTAAAAGGAGAAAATAATTTTAAATAATGCAAATTATCTTCCATTTACAAATAATTAATAATATGCACTTAGGAAATAACTTTTGATAATACCAACTATTAAAATATAGACCAAAGGTGTTAGCAAATTTTCAATTAATCGAAATTTCAGTTATTTCACACATTATAACTACAATATTCTAATTACTAAATAAATACACACACTCCTATACATTATTCTTATAAATGTGAGGGGCCCAGGACCAAGGTGGAAGGGTGGGTCCGCCACTATTCTAACTCAATGGTTATACACTTATACACACAAATGGATGGTTACTGATTATTGAAACTATTTATATGAATGTGCTTATTACTCCTCACTAATTTGAAAAATATAAATAGTCACCTACTCTTTGGTTAATTGTGGCTTCATGGTCAACTTTCAGTCCTACATAAACCACTATATTTAAAATTGTTGACCATATTCAATACCTTAAGCTATTTATGTTTGTATGGCCATATTCAGCTTCATCAGTTGAATTTTGAAGTTTGAACCATGTATTTTCAAAATTTAATTATGAAGGAGAAATATTATTAACTATATGTGTTTATATATTAATATATAAAAATATGTATATATAGTGTTGACCGGGTTTACCGGTTATTGACCGGACCGGGTTGACCCCCTGGTCCGGGTTGACCCTTGAGGCCTTGACCTAGTCACTCGTCCGGGTCATCTCCCGGTCCGGTTCTTTAAACATAGGTTAAAAGTGAATAAAATTTAAGAGTAATATTTACTACACATAAAGTTTGTACACAAATTATACAGTTACTAATTTATTTAATCTATACGGTTTAAAAACTGAAAGAAGTAGAGGATTACTTTATACGGAGTATGTAGTAAATTGTGTTATACAATTTAGATTAATTTTAATTCTTTTTTCTAAATAAGGTATATAATACCATCATCTCGAATTTTCTTCTCCATTTTTAATTAGTTTCTAATGTGCTAGGCTCGTAATAATGTACGGAGTACTTCGTATAATAATGTATGATGAATTTAAAAAAATGCATGATGAAATATTGTCATCATTAATATGTAGCGTGTACGTTTGGGATGTTGATGTGATGAGATTAGTGGTGCAATTAACATTGCACGGAACAAGATATACAGAATGACAGGTCGTTTAAAGGTAATAATGAACATGATGAAAAATATATTAATTCGAATTGTCAATCTGGAAATTATTTGGCAAGGCCACATGCCCATAGTCTTTTTACGTACACCACATATACTGCTCCGATTTAATGCATCTTATAACTTTGAAGAGACTTGATAAATTGTATTCTTAATGATCGAATATACCCATTATAAAAACAGTGTGGAGATAGGAAGGGTTGGAGGGACCCCATCTTTTTTTATTTTATGCCATCAAAGTTACTATTATGATTAATCATCCAAATATGAAAAACTCGTTTGATAACATTGATATATGTCGCATTCACTGAGATTGTTGAAGTGCATAGTATTTAAAAGACACTTTATTAAGAAAAAAAATGGGAAAAGAGAAAAAATAGCTATCTATATATAGTAATTTCAATCAGAAAAGTAATTTTAACTTTATTTTGATTATCATACAATTCAGTGCGTGAAATCTAAAGTTACGAGTTTGGTGAAAAATGACTGATAAAACTAATAAATGGAATAACATAGCCACTAAACGTGGCCAAAATGTCACATTTTCATCAACTATATATATACCCTCATTTTAGTTATATGTTTATCACTATGTAATACTATCTCCACCCCGAAAAGTATTTTCATATTGACTTTTCGTGCTGATTACAAACTTTGGACAATGATGTTAACTATTAGATTTGCATATAAATAATAAATTTTCAATTTTATTTAAAATATTTTGAATAAGAAACATTTTGATATGATTTTCATATAATTTCGTATTAAAAAATATCATTAGCCGAAATTGATCGTCTTTGATTAAGAAAATCAATTTGACAAACCTTTTCGAAACGAAGGGATCATGTATTATACTCCATACATCAGAATGCATTATTTAATATGTTATTCGTTCATATAATCATCATATGATTAAATTATACAATTATTCAATATTTCAATATAATATTTCAAGGGGTTTTTACAAGAATATTACTAAAATAAAACTTATTTACATAAATATCACTATTCATTACTACAACGTAGTGCTGTGGTAACTAAAGTTTAAAACTTGAACATGAATTACTATGATTTCATTACTATTCTAGTAATGAATCATATTTTTGTAAACCATCTTTATCTTAGTCGTATTTATGTAATTATTTCATATTTCAAATAGCGTAGAACTGGCCTAGCTATCAACCTACCAGTTTGGGGGTGTTTGGCAATTAGCTGTTGACTATTGACCGATTATGTTACCGATTGATAATAGCAGATTTGATGTTTTGATAATAGCGGTTATGTTGGATGTTTCGATGAGCTAATAGGATTAGCAGTTTCCAAAATGATGTTTACCATCACTACATAATTTGTTAAATGACCTTCAATTAATAAATTATTAATATAATTGGTATAACTACTTAAACCGTTTTTTATGATTTAAAAATAATAAAAATGTATTAACACTGAGTTCGAGCGGAATCCATCTGATTAACATAGTAATTTATTAAATTAATAGTAGCAGATACTTCTCATGGGAGACAAGAAGGTAACAATATGGAAGCACTTACAATTAGATTTTAATTAGCAAACCAGTGAACACACTATCAAAGGATTAAAAAACAGAGCAAACATTCAAACATTCAAGCAGAAAAGAAAAAAAAAGCGTAAATTGGGAGCGTTAGACCTGAGGGCTGAGGCAGAGGCGAAAATTGTTTCTAGGGCGGAAGGTTTTTCTAAATACGTAAACAGCAGATTATAAGCATTAGGTTTTGTGGCTTTTCATATTTTGATTGTTTGGGACATATAAAAAGGTAAATGTAAAAGTCATTTAACCAAACATATGTTTTGACTAGAAATTAACTAATAAAAAACTATTTAATGAAGAGGGAATCGAGCAAAAAGAATCAGATATGAAGGAATTGATCGATTAAGAAATAAATATAACCGGAATTTAGTAATATGGCTATCAAGAAAAATATGAATATGGTTGTGCGTGTATATTGATTGAACAAGCAGTGGTCTACATTACACATCACCTAGTCTATTTAGGGAGTGTTTGCGATTGCTTTTACTTTAAAAAAGTGATTTTTTAAAGTGATTTTGGAGAAAGTACTTAATAGTAAAAGTTGGTAGTGTTTGAGAAAAAAGTGATTCTGAAAAAGTAAAAATTGGTAGTGTTTGGTAAAATAAGTGCTTTTTGTGTAATAGGAAAAGTGAAAAGCAGTTTAAAGCATCCTTCCACCTGCTTCCAGCTTTTAGCTTTTAAGTGATTAATTTAAGCAGAAGCTGTCATTTGAAAACACTCCTTTCAGCTTTTTTTAAGCAAAAAGCTCAAAAGCACTTTTCTTAAGCAATGGAAAACACTCCTTTAATAGGATGGAGTTTTCCTCTTCCCCAAGATTAGCCTAGTGCTCCCCTTTTGTTGCTCACGTTTAATTAACAACTTTCCTCTATTTTGGTTCCACTTAATCTTATCTTCTATGTTTACTAATTCAAATATTTATCATCTAGACCTTTGCTAAGATTAGGGGTGGGCAAAAATACCGAAATATCGGTATACCGCACTTATCGTACCGAAAAATACCGGAAAATACTGAAATATTGGTATACCGTCATTTTTGGTACGGTATCATACCGTACCGATCTATTTCGGTACGGTATCATACCGTACCGATCTATTTCGGTACGGTAACGGTAAATGTTTTCAAATACCGCGGTATACCGGTATAATACCGTACCGACTCCCTACTCAACAATTACTTTTAATTCTAATACTTCCTCCATTCTATAATTCTTGCAACATTGTGATTTTTACACTATTCACAGATCGTATTTTGACCATGATTTTATACTAATATACATAATCAAATTATTACGCATAAAATGTTATTGAACTCTTATTAATGTGAATTTCCAAAATATCAACTTTTTATAATGTTTACTAATACGTAATTAAATATAATTACAATCAAAGTTGTGCATTGGCAAATGTGAAAGTCAAACTGTTGCAAGAATTATAGAACGGAGGATAGTATATTGTAGAAATCCATTACAATTTTGAAGCCCAAAATTAATACTTTTTTTTTCGAGGGTCCAAAATTAATACTTAAGTTGGTTACAAATACAAAAATACAAAAATACAAAAATAAAGGCCCAATTTCTCAAACCCACTATAACCTTATAGCCTTCTACTACGCTAATCTTAATGACTAATAACTAATGTGCAAATGTCAAGAAACAAGTCCATCTTGTTCCAAGATCTTGCAAGTCGTGATGGTTGAGCCGCTAAGTAGCTGACAAGTGAAGAGAGATACACTTATGTTACAAGTGTATCTACATAGGGATTCCGCGAGTTGAGACACACAACTTTATCCGAAAGTCTTATTCAAATTTTAAAAAATTATAAAAATGACTAAATACACAATATCATATTAGAAACAAATGATTTTATATCCATGTTGTTTGAATAGTTTTATTTATTTTTGTTAGAGATCACTGTTGATTTAATTATATCTATATTGTTCAAGTTATTTTAGGAGAATGTGTTACTTTTTAATATGCGGAATGTTGAACTGCTTAAATATAATAATAATAATTATTATTATTATTGTTCAATATTGAATTGACATCAATAGATTATTAATTGTATTTCGTAACATTTTAATAATAGATTTAACATGTCACTAGTAATAACGACTTAGTATATTTCGTTAGTCTATGATAATTTTTTGTATTGGGAGACATGCACGGTAATTTAACGATACCGTACCATTACCGAACCGAAACTTCGGTATACCGAAACTTCGGTAAGGTAAAGGTATGCAAATTTTGCATACCGAAAGTTTTGGTACGGCAAAGGTATGAGAAAAAATATAAGGGATACAGTACCGAACCACCCCTAGCTAAGATTGGGTCGACCCTTGCTTTCAATTAATTTGCTGGCCCAATTGACAAGGAAAATTCTTGGGCCCAACAATTGCCCCCTTTCGAGAAGTTGAGGCGTTTGGCGCACATGTCAACCCGTTAAGCATCAACTTGTCGAAATCTTGAAAACTTGAATATCACCCATATAAACTCGTCATATGTCCGATGAGACATGCTGTCAAACTGACATTCGTATAACAAGACGCTTTGTCAACTCGTCACTTTTCTGACAACATGTTTCTTTCAACCCGTCACTCATCTGATGAGACGAATTCATTAATTTTGTGCAAGTAGTTTCTGATCTAATCCGTCTCTTTGGCTAAAGCGAAGAAGAACAAAAGCTGATCTCATATCCTCTTCCTCCAAATTTGTGATAATGATCATGTCTAGGCAATGCTGACGAGTTGAAACTTCGACCAGGTTGATGTCGACACTTTAGTTGGTCAAGGGAACTTCGTTCATTGCTAGAGATGACGAGTCGGGTTGCATGAACATAATCGAAATCCTGCAAAAACTTTAAATAACGTTTCGTTTACGGTTTTAGTAATATTGTCGACATGAATATTTATGATGTAAGTCAATGTCGTTCGTATTGTCTCCTTATGTTTTGGAGCTTGTGTTGTAATGCTCTTGGAGCACATGCTTCTGTTGTGTGTTTTCTGTAGTTTTCTGTAGTTTTGTGTAGTTTTGGCCAAAACATGTAGGGCTTCTCTGTCTGCGCCTCATATTTCATATATGAAAGACTTGAGCTGACCCCACCATCCCTTGTTGAGGGGATTGTGTTAGCGGTTGTCGCTATGTGTATCGATTATTGACTGCTTTTCGTTTTGTCAACATTCTGCATACAAACATATTGTCAAAGTCTGGCCGTTGGCCTTTGGCCAACGGCCCTCCGAAGCTTAAGTCAGTAATTATCACTACAATGAATTAACCAAGCAAGAATTTATCTAAAGAAAATGACTTTCCAAAACATTCATCATGCATCTAACGACATTAAAACCAAAACGTAAGAATTGTCCAAGTTTAATTTACTTGAATATCATCGAAAGTATTAGTGAAATTGATAGAAATGTTTGTGATGAAAATACAAGCAAAGAGAGTACCTTTACCTACTCGTCAAGTTTGATCAGTTTGCTATTGTTGGTCAGCACATGTTCAAAGACCAATTTGGCCGTTGGTTTGAGGCCAGCGGCCCTCCGACGCTCAAGTTAGTAGTGGAAATAAGCGAAATATATGTTGACCATATTTATGAGTAATTAAATTAGAAATGAAAGGGTTTTAAGTGTACCGCATTCCAACTTCTTGGTACTTGTTTACCGTCGATGGTCTTTAGTCGGTATGCCCCCCCGTCCGACGACTTCAATCATATCGTCCAATCTACCTCGTCACAGAAGTGACAACTCGTTCTTCAGGTCTCGAATAAGGTCTTCCATGCTTGTAGTCGCACGTCCCGGAGGATTCTGATTTCCCATGCCCCCCTTCCTACTCAATATGTCCGTGACGGGCTCGTAAGTCTTCTTCTAGACGGATGAAAGCTAGTGCCTTTGCTTGGACATCTTCGAAGGACCGACTAGGGTATTTCGTCAACTCCCGATATAACTCTGAATCCTCCAGCAGTCCTTGTCTGAATGCTTCAATTGTTGTCGGCACGCAACACCTGGGGATTGACATCTTCTCCTCGTTGAAGCTTTGCAAGTAATCCCGCAAGGATTCGTTTTGCCTCTGGACCACCCGATAGAGATTACTGGTCTGCTTCTCCAAGGCTCGACTGCTCGCAAACTGTTGCTTGAATAAGTTGACCAGCTCTGCAAACGAATTGATGCTTTCATTTGGTAGGTTGACGAACCACGTCAATGCCGGTCCTGACAATGTCGCCCCAAATGTCCTGCACATGCAAGCTTCTCGCTGATTTGGTCTGACCGAAGTGACTAACATTTGTTGTTTGTACTGAGCGACATGTTCCACCGGATCAGAAGTCCCATCGAACAGTCTCATCGAGGGGGCGGCGAACTTCCTTGGAATCTCGACATCAGTGATATGTCGTCCGAAAGGCGAGTCCGCATAGCACGTTTGTGAGGCAACATCTAGCGGTGGCGGGACTCCAGGTATGCCGTTGATTTTTCCCGCATCTCTCTCATCTCCTCCATGAGAATGGCAAAAGAGTCTGTCAAGTTTGTCTGCATCTGCGGAACTGCTACTTCGGGTGGTGTTGTCGTTTGGGCCGCTCCTCGTTCGGTAGGTGATGGTATATCAATGATCTTCGGCTCTTTCCGCCTCTGGTTGTTGATGTCGACATGTATGGGGATCATGGATGTCGACATGATTTCGGAATATGTTCCTTCTGAGATTTGGGGATGGAATGGAATGAGTTGAGGGCCCTGCTCCTCCAGATGTGTCGGCCCTGGAGTGAGGGATGAAAGGTTCCATTGAAGCCGGAATCGAACCCATGTTCAGTCTCGTTGCCACGGTAGCCACATCCTCACTCCGTCGTGAGCTGAAGGCTATGGATGCCACCGATTGCACCTGAGATCTCAAAGCGTCATTTTCACCTTGGAGGAAGGCCATTTGTTGACGCATTTCCTCCCAGACAGCTTTTAATTGTGCCGCGTCGGAACTTTTGGATGCGTGGAGCTCTTCTCGGACGGCTTCTAGCTGTGCCGCACCGAAACTTTTGGATGCGCGGAGCTCTTCTCGGACGGCTTCTAGCTGTGCTTGAATCTCATTAAACAGGGAGTTAGAACTTTTGGCCATAGTTGATTCTCTTTTTACAAGAATTTCCCACAGACGGCGCCAATTGTTTTGACTAGAAATTAACTAATCGAAAACTATTTAATGAAGAGGGAATCAAGCAAAAAGAATCAGATATGAAGGAATTGATTAAGAAATAAATATAACCGGAATTTAGTAATATGGCTATCAAAAAGAATATGAATATGGTTGTGCGTGTATATTGATTGAACAAGCCGTGGTCTACATTAGAGATCACCTAGCCTATTTAAGAGGATGGTTTTTTCCTCTTCCGCAAGATTAGCCTAGTGCTCCCCTTTTGTTGCTCACGTTTAACAACTTTCCTCTATTTTGGCTCCACTTGATCTTATCTTCTATGTTTACTAATTCAAATATTTATCATCCAGACCTTTGCTAAGATTGGGTCGACCCTTGCTTTCAATTAATTTGCTGGCCCAATTGACAAGGAAAATTCTTGGACCCAACAACATATTTATTGACTGGTTGACATGGTAAAAAAGCTGGTAGCCGTCAAATCGAGCAAAAATTGATCGATATGCTCTTAAGCGAACACCCCATTTAACATACACCTAGTACAAAGATGGAAACTCAAATACAGTGTCTTATCTTCCCTTTTTTTTTATCAAGGTGGATACTCGATTTTGAAATGTTTTGCGAACTAATTTCTTCGTTTGTAGATGACTTTTAGGAATGAGCGTAGCTCAGGGGCAGTTCGTATTCTTACACATCCCATTTTTTAGAAAAGCTTTGGTTTTTCATTTACTAATAAAAATAGGGGAGAAGTATGAAAAAAGTACTTATGATTGTGCTCATTTTTACATAACGTCTTGTGTTTCATTTTTTGAACTCTGTTATCACTGGAGGGGTTAGGCGCCTGATGCCGTTAGAAATTACCAGAGAAAGATGATGAATAGTAGCTCTAATCTTCAAAAGTGTCCTAAAAATTAAAAGAAAAATATTGGGAGGTGCGTCCCGTCAATGAGGCCTCCAGATTAAACCATCTTCGTCTTTGAAATTTTCAAATCTTTTTGGTTTTTTTAAAATGCGAATTCGTTTTCAGAGGATTTTACGGTGACAAGAGTAGTTGGAAACAAAATAGAAAGGTGGCCTGGAGGTCGCCTTGTTGAGGCACACCTCCCATTATTTCTCTTTATATTAATTGTTTTGGTCACTTTTGAAAATCGAAGTTATCGTTCATCGTTTTCCTCCAATGATTTTTAACAGCGTCATGCGCTGGGCCCCTCATGTGATACGGAGTTTAAACACATGATTCTTTGTTAAAAAATGAAATACATGACTCTATATGGAAATTAGTCAAACACAAGTACATCTTGTAATTTTCCTAAAAATAATTACTGTGAAAATTTATACTACATAAAAAATATAGGGATATTAAATCGATCCCAAATTAGTCTTGATAAACAAACTTTTTAAAAGTGGTTAAGTTAAATATTACTAGTACTGTAGTACACCGTATGTTGCAATTATAGACTCTTGACCAAACTAGTCTTCACATGGAGACTCTTCATGAATTATATACTGCTCATCTCTTTAGTGTGTCTTCATTCATGTGATATGATAAGTTATTAAAGTTTAGTGAATCAAAACAACATAGTCAAGGGATTTATACCAGATTTCAATTGTTGAGCAAATGCACCTAAACAATCACTACAAGTAGTGTATAAAGTGAGGCATTCTTACTTGGTACATTGTCTTATTGAGTTAATTGAATTTAATGTTATTATATTACAAGTTAAAATAGCAGTCGTAGGAAGATTCTTTTCTAAAATAATGTTATAAAGACTATTCTTCACAACAAAATTGGCTATAACTTCCTTTCAATTGTTTGATTTGCTACGTCGAGAGAGCTCGAGTTTTCGAAGTATCATTAATGAATTTACTATAAAACATTTAAAAAGATGGAAGTTGATTTATCTCGACTGGAAAAATGAACTACTCCGTATAATGTACGTAGTATATCATTAACTACTTCCTATAATTTATGGCGTTGTTTTTTTTATGGTTATTTATGTGGCAATTAGGATAATACATACTACTCCGTATGTACATAGTTATGTTTGAATCGAGTTTGTTGTCTTTGACAAATTTAATGGACCAGTCACTACTTATATACGGAGTATATACTAACTATATATAATAGTGAGAATAACTTTAAATTATACATATCAACCATCATAGGTCCATTAAAAAAACCATCATAGGTCCATTAAAAAAACCATCATAGGTCAATCAACCATGATACATACTACCTTCTTTCTAATGGACTTTGTTAAGATATGAGGTTTCATCCTAAAAAGTCAACTCTGATAGGAGGAGTAGCACATGTCTTAATATAGCAATTTATTTCTTCACAAGTTTCCGGTGTGGGAATTTAACACCCTTCCTCACGATCAGACCCTTTGTCTGGATCGTGTCGTCATTCATTTTTTCATCTGTTCGTCATTGTCAATTTTTTTTATAATCGTGTCGTCAATTTTTCATAAGGGGGCCCACACCATGGATCGATTAGGCTTTCATACCATGTTAAGACACGGGGTTCCATCCTAAAAGATCAACCCTGATAGGAAGAATAGCTCATGTCTTAATATAGGAATTTATTCCTTCACAAATTTCCGGTGTGAGAATTTAACAGACTTTGCATTTATTTAGGCCTTCTATCAGGCCCAATTAGAGCATTGTGTAGCCCGTTTCTTATAGGATGCTCAAGGGCCAATTTAATGCAGCTCGTTATAGTTGATTATTTATTAATGGATTAATGAATGTCATGAAGGACCATTTAGTAATATTGGACTAATTAAATTAAAGATCAGTTGTGTAATGATCGAAGTAGTAACAGTAAAATTACTTTCCTGTCTGAAATGAATGTAGAAGACCTTTTCAGCCTTTTCTGTAATAAATTTTCTTTTTTTAAAAAAATATCTTTACTGTAACATTTACATAGTTCAGCACACTCAACGAGTTCAACTACATCAGTTAGAATTATATCGTTTTTAGTAGATTCAACCGATTCAATCAATTAAAGTGCTATAACGGATTCAAAATTATTGAGACTTGTTTGATTCAAGGATTTAATAAAGTGAACGGATGATTGATTTTTGGTTTACTAATTTTTCTTTAGTTTTTTACTTGTCAATTTTAAACTAACAATACCTTTGTGAGTGGGATCCCTATTTATTTACAACACTAAGAATGTTTTTACTTGGATGGAATTAGCTGGTCTGGACTGTTTAAGTCTGGTTTGAATTGGTCTGATAAACATTTGGTCTCTGGGTATTTTATAACTATAGAAGTCTGGTTTGGTCTGATCTGACCTGTTTAAGTCTGGTCTGGTCTGAGACTGAAAACAGTCCAAGTAAAAACATCCTAAATCACAACTAGAATTTATTTTAAAATAACTACAGTTTTTTCTTGTCTTTCATCTAATAAAATCCGAGGAAATTCCCAAAATGCGGGATTTTTGGGTCTGACATGCCAAAATACGGGACAGCTAATTAGGTATCAAAACACGGGAGTCGGAATTGGGTATTAACTAAGTAGGGTTACTTTTCCACCCCTGTCGGAATTGGCTAATCCGACCATGGGAAACCATTTTTTGGTTTGTTCGTTAATAACGCACGTAACATGCACGGTGAAAGCAAGAAATATAAGGTAATGGGTCCCACCCAAAATAAAATCTCCTGTGTAATTTTTTTATATGTACTCTGATTGTTACAAAACATATACCAAAATTTATAACTTTTTATTATCTTTCATATGACACCAATATTGAATATATAAAAATCAAAAAATAATTTAAGACTTTAAAAATTATCTTCTTTTTAAAGCGTTATATCTTTTGTGATTGTATTCTGATTCTTACAAAAATTATACCAAATCCGTAATTTATTTTTTTCTTTTATACGAAAGCAATGTTTCATATATAAAAATAAACAAATTATTCTAATAATTTGTGCAGTTTAATATGGCCACACCGAGGTTTTGGAACACTGGCGGAGGTGACATGTCAGGGCCGAGCAAGCAATATCTATTTATTAATAGATTAAATTAAAAACTACATTTGTTTTGTTCACTTCCATTAAACAAATGAAATTTGTACTTCATTTTTTGAATTTAATTAACAATACGAATGAATTAAAAAATATACTCCCTTCATAACTTAAAAACCTTCTCATTTCAAGAGTAGGTGGATTAAGAATAATGAAAGAGGATATGAATTATTGAGGGTATGATGGGAAGATAATGGAATAATGTGATGGAATGTAGGATAAATCCAAAAAAAGTAGTTGTAATAGTGTATTATTTTTAGAATTATTGAAGATATGATGGGAAAATTTAGAAATGAGAAGATTTTTTTGTTACGGACGAAAAAGGAAAGTGGGAAGATTTTTTTGTTACAGAGGTAGTAGTATAAAGTAATCAATGTTTTGTTATTCAAAAAATCAAAATGTATATTTTTCATTTTAAAAATTGCACCATACGTATTACTTCAATTTCAAAAAACTAACTTTATTTAATAAAAAAAAACCATCCAAACCACATGCCAATTCGGAATTTTTTAATTTAAAGCACTTCATCATTTAAAGCAATTCGGATGGAAAAATAAAATAAAATAAAATAAACCCCTAGTCGGAAGAGCCAAATCTGACACTAAGCACACCCTATTTTTTCAAAACCATATGTCTGGTCGGAAGAGCCAATTCCTACCTTCGCTTTTAGTTAATGATTTGGAGAAGTGACTTTTACTAGTTTTCCAAATTTGGAAAACGCAGATGCTACAGTGCCGTTGCAATGAATTTGCATACTTACACCTAGTGGTGGGTCCCGTCCCGCTCCGATGTCGATTCCATTCCGGTACCTCCATCATCGTACATTGCCCCTTACCCCTACCCTACCTACCTTACCCACCCAACCCAACCCCGCATACCCATTTTTCCCTATAATGACCCTACCCCACCCCGTCCCCACCCCGATCCACCCTACCCTACCGCCACCCCCTACCACCTCGACCCCACCCCGACCCACCCTACCCTACCCCCACCCGTATATTACCCCTTACCACATGCGCCTACCTCGGCCCCACCCCACCGCCATCCTACCCCCACCCTCGTACCGCCATCCTACCACCATCCTACCCCCCACCCTACCCTTCTCCTACCTCGGCCCCACCCAGATCCCGGGCCCACC